ATAGTGGTTATGGGCTTGGGGTAGGGGGAAGAGGGGATGTGGGTTGAGGGATACAAGCTTTCAGCATGGTGACTATAGCTAATTACGTGGTACATACTTGAAATTTGCTGAGAGAATAGACTCAAGTATTCTCACCACCACCACAACAAAAAAAAAAATCTGGTAACTAGGAAGTGATGGATATGTTGTTGGTTATCTTGATTGTGCTAATTATTTCTCAGCATACATAGATATCAACACATGTTGTGCACCTTAAATATATAGAATTTTTGTCAATTATACCTCAGTAAACCTGGAGAGAAAATAAAAGACCCCTGTGTGGAAACAACTCCAAGTATTCATCAATGGGTGGGTGGATAAACAACATGTGGTCTATCTATATGATAGAATATTATGCAGCCATGAAAAGAACAAGGCTCTGATCCATGCTGCAGAGTGAATGAACCTCAAACATATGACGGTTCTTTTTGAGAAATGCTAGACACAAAGGCCCCTCTGTTTATTTGAAATGTCTAGAATAGATAAGTTTGTAGAGTCAGAAAGTAGATTCAAGGTTACCAGGGGCTAGAGGAGAGGAAAGGGGAGTTATTGTTTAATATTTGAGATGAGAAAAAAAAAAATTTTGGAAACAGGTAGTGGTGACAGTGACTTAACATTGAGAATATAATTAGTGCTGCTGAATTGTAGTTCACTTACTGGTTAAAGTGACCAAGTAATTAATGCCACTGAATTGTACACTGAGAAATTTTTGTTGTTGTTGTTGTTGTTGTTGTTGTTATTTGAGACAGAATCTTCTTCTGTGCCCTGGGTAGAGTACCATAGCATCATAGCTCATAGTGACCCCAAACTCCTGGGCTCAAACAATCTTCTTGCCTCAGCCTCCTGAGTAGCTGGGACTACAGGCACCTGCCACAATGTCCAGCTAGTTTTTCTGTTTTAGTAGAGATGGGGTCTTGTTCTTGCTCAGGTTGATCTTGAACTCCTGAGCTCAAGCAAGTGCTGGGATTATAGGCGTGAGCCACTGCGTGTGGCCAGAAATGGTTTAAATGGTTAAAATTATACCATAATTTTTCTTAAAAGGCCCCTCTGTCTTCTAGGAGATCCTAGACTTTGGAGACAGAAGGGCCGTAGGGCAATTGGGAAGTGGTCAGGGCCCAGGGTTAGAGAGGCAGACGCTGAGGACAGATGGGTGGACAAACGCTGGCATGTTCTAGAGGCGTAGACAGACCAGAACCTACTTCTGAGTTGGGTTTTAGGGGTAAGGGAAAGAAGTTAAGGGTTTTTAACTTCTGGGGCTTGGGCTGATATGGGTGGGTGGGTGCTTTGTTTTGGTGTGGTCATACTAAAGGTGCCCTGGAGACCCCCTGATGGAGATGTAGGGGGGAAGAGAGGGGCAGGGCTGGAGGGCAAATGTGGTGGTCATCACAGTATAGGAGCTGTTCTAAAGGTGTGAGGTTGGATGGGAAGAGGCCCCAGGACTCCTATCTGGAGTCCCAGCATTCCAGGGTGTAGCCTGGGAGGTGCAGAAGAACCCCCCACTTTTAGATGGTTGTTCCTGGTGTCCTGACTGGCACCCTGCTACAAACAGCACCCTTTGATAGATCCTGTTCTGGCCCAACATGCAGATAGACTGCTGTCCTTACTTGTACCCTACAAATCTGCAGAGCTGGGGAGCTACAGCCAGGAAGCTGAAGAGAAGCTCAGGGGTATACAGCAGGTATGAGGCAGAGTCAGGATCTAGACTCATGTGGTTTGGCTGCCTCCAGACCCTGCTACCTGGTGGCTTCCCCACTATTTTAACTTCATCTAAGCAGTTGAACTTCCTGCTCTGATGCATGGTACAGGGGGAAAGAACACTCTTCAAGAGCCTGAGAGAGGAGAACTTTTCAAGCTGGGGTCATTACCTCCCCTGAACCTGATCATGGCTATGACAGAAATAAGGAAGTTAATATAATGAAGAGAGCCTCCCCACTCCCAATGTGAAGTGCTGTCAGATGATCCAGAAGTGCCACAGGTAGAGTCTGGTCAGGGCTGCCAGGGGACACATGGCTGTGGAGTGGGGACTTCCTAAAGGTTTGGGCTGTGAGATGGGACAGAGAGTTGCTGTAGGCATGGGGAGGGGGTATTCAGGGCTGCCCAGCAGATATTACCTTTCATTTCTCACATTAGGAGACCAAGCTGTGGAGGGGATTATTCCTGCCCTGTGGATGTGCCTCTCTGATCTTTATTTATTGAGGATCTATACCAAGTCCCTGCCTGCCTCAAGGGGTTTATGTTCTTGTGAGGAAGGCCAACAACATATCTGTCAATATAAAAAAGGTCATTTTAGTTGGAGGTGAGAGCTGTGAATTAAAAACAGAGAAAAGGGCCAGGTGTAGTGGCTCACATCTGTAATCCCAGCACAGCATAGCAAGACTTTGTTTCTACAAAAAACAGAAAAATTAGCCTTGCATGGTGGCTGACCCTTGTAGTCCCAGCTACTTGGGAGGCTGAGGCAGGAGGATTGCTTGAGCCCAGAAGTTTGAGGTTGCTGTGAGCTATGATGCCACAGCACTCCAACCCAAGTGACAGAACAAAACCCTGTCTCAAAAACAGACAAAACCAAATAAAACAGGGAAAAGAATGGCAGATGAGGACAGCAGGTGTATTCTGGGTTTGGGGGGGGGCAGGGTAAGTCATCTTGCTGGGGTGACCTTGTGTTTGTGCCCTGAATGATGAGAAGCTGCAGCTGATGTCTGGGGATCCTGGGAGAGGCTTGCAAAGGGAGTAGCCCAGGCAAAGGCTTGGGAGCGGGAGGAAAAGGAGGAGGCTGGGGTTGAAATGTTCTAGAAACAGGAGGGAGGAGGCAGGGGGCTTGGTGGCACCAGATCACTCATGTCCTTGAGGCTGTAGTGAGAAACCAAGACCCTAGCAGAGAAGCTAGGAAAGGCTAGCACAGAACGGTTAATGCTTGGGTCAATGTCCCTTAGCTCTGAGTAGCGGGTAGGTTAGGAGGGCCAGGAAGAAGGGCCAGGACAACATCTAGGTGTCATAAGATGGTGGTCTGGTCCTGGGTAGTGGTGCTGTAGGCCAGAAACCTTCAGGTTGGTGAGATACTTTGCAGGCAGAGAGCCTATAGGATTTGCTGATGGTGCCTTTAACAGGGACTGCAGGGAAGGTGAGGAATTAGGACAGATTCCTAGGGTCTGAGATTCATTTGACAAGTAATTCATTGCTATGCGCCAGGCCTGTTCTTTTATTTATTTGTTTATTTTAGAGACAAGAGTCTTACTTTGTCACCCTCAGTAGAGTGCTGTAGTGTCATAGCTCACAGTAACCTCCAACTCCTGGGCTTAGGCGATTCTCTTGCCTTAGCCTCCTGAGTAGCTGGGACTACAGGCACCTGCCCCAATACCCGGCTATTTTTTGTTGCAGTTTGGCCGGAGCCGGGTATGAACCTACCATCCTCGGTATATGGGGCTAGTGCCCTACTCACGAGCCACTGTGCCACCCCAGGCCTGTTCTTAAAGTTAGGTATATGACCATGAATAAAACAATTTAATGGGGCGGTGCCAGCCCCATATACCGAGGGTGGTGGGTTCGAGCCCAGCCCCTGCCAAACTGCGACAAAAAAATAGCCGGGCATTGTGGTGGGTGGGCGCCTGTAGTCCCAGCTACTCAGGAGGCTGAGGCAAGAGAATCGCCTAAGCCCAAGAGCTGGGACACCACAGCACTCTACCAAGGGTGATAAAGTGAGACTCTGTCTCTTTAAAAAAAAAAAAAAAAAAAGAACAACAATTTAATGATTCCCTGCCCTGTGAAGGGAACATTTCATACACCAGATAATAATTACATCTGAACAAAGACCTGGGGAAGCCTGCCATGTGGATAACTGGTGGGCAGAGGAAGCAACAAGTGCAAAGGCCCTGCCCCAGGTCCCGGTGTGGCTAAGGAATAACAGGAGTGGCTGAAGCAGAAATGAGTTCGGGGAGCTCACTAGGCCATTTGTTAGACTTCACAGGGGCTTTGGTTTTCAGGGGAAACAGTAGTTGGGGCTCTGATGAGAGATCTGGAAAGTATCGGCTCAGTGGTGGAGACACTAGCAGAGCCTGGGATAAGACAGGCTGTGGTGACAGCCAGAGAGGACAGAGGGCCCCACTCAGTGTGTGTCTAGCAAGTTCCTGGAGGGACTGATGCCATTGGGCTGGGGCCACACCTGGGGAACCAGGGTGTAGTTAAGGAGAAAGCTGAGGGTGGACATCTGGGTGTGCAACTTTAAGAGGATCTCGGGGAAACCGAGGCAGTGAGGGAGGTGAAAAGGTGCCCCTGGGAGGGAGGGAGGAAGAAACAGAGCTACTATGCTCAGGGACAAAGGAGGGGAGGGGAGGGGACACAGCACCCATCCTCTCTTGTATACCCAAGTCCCCCAGGGAGGACAGCATCCCCCCTTACACCACCTGCCAGTCTCCAGTTTACCCTAGAGAAAAAGGGGACTCAGGAGTCCTTGGTTCTCGATCTGTGGCGCCAGCCAGCTGGATTCTAATGAGCCACCAGAGTACAGGAGACAGGAAGTAGGGGGCTGGGGCCAGAGGTTGGACTCATGCCCAAGACTGGGAGTCTGCAAGTTGGGCCAGCCTGCCTGGGTCCTGACCCAGGAAGACAATAGTTTTACCTTTCTCCTTGCTCATGGGTGAGGGTGCTGAGTGGGGAGGTCAGGGTTTGGGGATGGAGAAGAGGCTTTGGGGATGTCCACGGCCTTCCTGGGACATCTTGATGAACTGCCCCCAGAAGGAGCTTCCAGGAGCTTCCAGCAGGGAAAAGTAGAAATCTATTTGGTCAGAGGTACCAAGATGGATGGGTCTTTTCACCAGGGTATAGGAAGGGGGTGCCGTGTGGCTACAGGCCTTGCAAGTTGAATGTCAACCTCTTGGGGCTGTAGGACAGAAGCCTTTGGCCAGCAGTAGGAGAATAGAGTGGCCTGGAAACCCCTGCGCCCCCTCACTCTCCCTGTCTTCCCCTAGGCTGGTGGGCCAGGCTGTGGTGCCCACCAGGTGATGCAGAGCAAGGGCCCTTACACAGGCCACTGAGAGTCCCGGACGTGCCCCTGGCTGCCACCATGGCCCGCCTGGCCGCAGTGCTCTGGAGTCTGTGTGTCACTGCCGTCCTGGTCACCTCAGCCACCCAAGGTAGGTGCTTCTGGGACTGGGGAGGGGCCACAGCTTTCAAGAGGGAAAATGAAATAAGGAAATCCTCTGACGTGGGGAAGAGCCATAGTCCCTACCCCACCTAAGACCATGGCTGGACCAGGGTGGAGGAAGACTCAGTGTACCCTTTAATGCTACCAAAGGGTCCTGGTGGCCCCCTGGCTGTCCTAGACCATCCCCTCGCCCTCAACAAGTCAGCCAGACCAGGGCACCAGCAACCATCCCGCTGTAGCCCCTGGGACCAGGATAGGCCTTCCTGGTGAGCTGATGCTCTTCCCTGTGTATATATGTCTCTCTCTCCCTGTGATTACATCTCCAAGGCTCTCACTGGGAAGAAGGCTTAATTAAAGCATGCTCGCTGACGTTTATTTAAAAACAACTAATTACCCAGCTCAGCCCTATGCTGGCCCTGAGATCCTGCACACACCACAATTAGTGCCCCAAGCCTGCCTGCCCATCCTCATCAATTACTATCCTCATGAAGAGCTCAGGTGGGGGCAAGTGTAAGAAGAGAGGGGCAAAAAAATAAATAAATAAATAAGAAGAGAGGGGCAGAGAGAAGGGGACTACTAGCCCCTCACCCTGTGCTATGCCTCCTGCCTGCTCCACCACCCCTATCTGAAGGGCACTGGTGGTGGACCCTGTTCCAGCTCCCAAAGTGGAGGGGACTTTGGCTATGCCCTGGGGCCTTGGCACTTTTCTGGTCAGCCAGAAGCCTCACCCGCCGGTACTATGTTCTTTGTCCATCCAGGTCCTGCCCCATAGACCCAGCTGACTCAGAAGGGGCCACTTCCACCCCCAGGCCCATCTGAGCCATCTCTCCACCCCCAGCCCTCCCTCCCAGCCCTGGGAAGGCTAAAATTAGATAAGGAGGCAGATGGTGCTAGAGGAACACATGTAAAACTTTCCCCTCACTAGGACTCAACTCACCCCCCAAAACCCCAAGGGCCTAGCTGCCATACCCTTGGGTATCTAGTTGGCATTGGGAGGACCAGATCTCTGAAAAGGCCTGGCTGTGCTGCCACCACACATGACTGCCCTCATGAAACCCAGAGGCGGTCATTCCCTGCATCTATAAGCCAGAGTCCCTACATTGGAGCATCGGGGCCCCTCTCTGTATCCCCATGTCCCACTATCAATCTGCAAGGCCCAGATGGGACCAGTGTCCTGCCAGCCACTGCTGTTGTGCAAAGACTAACCGCCTTAATAATATTCATAACAACAGTAATTAGCATTCATATCATCTCACCATGTATGGCTCACAAACATTAACACCCCAGATCCATTACAGCAGCCTGTGAGATGGAAACTGTTCTCACTGCCCCTCACAGGAGGGACAGAGGCACAGAGACAGTCAGTGACTTGGATGAGGACCCAGCCAGGGAGTGGCTGAGCTAGGATTCCAACCCTAGCCAGTTGTCTGGCTCCTGAGGCCAAGCTCTCAGTCCCTGTGCGACACAGGATAATGGCTGACGTAGAATAATATAGTCTACACCAGGAGCTGGGCATGTCCCTTGATTGTCACAGTGACCTAGAAGGTCTCTCAGATAATGATTGGGAATCACCAAGGCACTTGAGCAGGGTACCATGCTCAACACTTCTTTAAAGAGCATTTTCTAGAACATGGAATCTCTGTGGTATGATGCTGGACAGGTGCCCATTTTCCACATTGGGAAACTGAAACTCAGAGAAGTTATAGCAGTAGCTCTGCAAACTTGAGCATGCATCAGAATCATCTGATGGACACATAGCCCCAGAGGCTGCTGGCCTCCAGCAATTCTGATTCAGAAGATTCAGTGCAAGGCCCAGAATCTGCATTCTGAAACAGGCAATGCTGCTGGGCCATACCATACCTGCCCTGTCACCTGGGATGTGGCACAGCCAATCTCTGTGGTTTTGTCTAGAAACCTAAGCACATTCTTGGGCTTTGCTCCATGTGCAGGGTGGTGTGAAGTCAGGAAGATCCCTAGACTAACTCACTTCTGACACCCTCTGCAAGGCAGATATTACACTCACAGTAACAGTTGACCACAGTGAAAGAAAGGGTACAGATTATAATCAGCCAAAGAAGAGGGGCACGCAGGGCAAAGTTCAGGAAAGTTTCCTGGACAGAACTTCCAATTGTCCACGGCCAGGCCAGTCGAGCCGTAAACAGTGTTAACCCTCCTGGCAGTGGCATATGACAACATGCATGGTGTACCTCCAGCCTAGGGGGCTGCCCTGAGCCTCAGTGTCCAGGGTCCTTTTCTTCTTCTTTCCACATGGCTGACCTCAAGCTCCAGACCATCCAGAGGTCAGCTGATACCAGGTGACCCAAAGTTCTCACCCTAAGTTATATTGTTAGTGTGTACATTTGCTAGGGCAGCTATAACAAAGTACCACATACTGTGTGGCTTAAACATAGAAATGTATGGTCTCATACTGCCAGAGGTGAGCATCCTGAGGTCCGGACGTCAGTAGGGTTCGCACCTTCTAAGGCCTCTCTCCTGGGCTGGATGATAGCCATTGTCTCCCTGTGCCTTCACATCATCTTACCTCTGCCCATCTCACTGACCCAATTTTCCCTTTTTATAAGGACCCCCATCATGTTTGATTGGGGCTTACCCTAAGGCTCATGTTTAAGTACTAGGAGGCTAATGCAGGTGGATCGCCTGAGCTTGGGAGTTCAAGACCAGCATGAGCAAGAGTGAGACTCTTATCTCTACTAAAAATAGAAAAACTACCTGGGCATTGTGGTGAGCACCTTGTAGTCCCAACTTCTTGGGAAGTTGAGGCAAGAGGATCACTCGAGCCCAGGAATTTGAGGTTATTGTGAGCTATGATGCCACAGCACTTTACCCAGGGTAATAGAATGAGACTCTGTCTCCAAAAATAAATAAATAAATAAATTTGACTACCCCTGTAAAGACCCTATCTCCAAATAAGGTCACATTCTCAGGTAACTGGGGTGAAAACTTCAGCATATGAATTGGAGGGTGCACAGTTCAACCCATAATTTACTACAAACTGATGTGGCCCATGAGGCACAGAAGAGACACATTTATTGGGAAGGACATTCCAAGGGCTTAGGTATCACTTCCTAGGAGCTGAGGGCAAAGGCCAGACTCTTTTGGCTGGAGTATATCCTTACTACACAGGTGGGCACACAGAAAAGCCCATTTTATAGCTGAATAAACTGAGGTTCACATCACCAGCATCCCAGACACAACCGAGCTACAAATGGCACCTTGGCAGCCAACAGGGTTTTCCCCTCCTGGCCTGGGCACCCCTAAGCATGACACCACAACCATCCCCCCATCCTCTTTGCAGGCCTGAGCCGGGCTGGGCTTCCGTTCGGGCTGATGCGCCGGGAGCTGGCATGCGAAGGCTACCCCATTGAGCTTCGGTGCCCAGGCAGCGATGTCATCATGGTGGAGAATGCCAACTATGGGCGGACGGATGACAAGATTTGCGACGCTGACCCTTTTCAGATGGAGAATGTACAGTGCTACCTGCCAGACGCCTTCAAGATCATGTCACAGAGGTGAGTAGGCTCCTGGGAGGGTTTCTCAATAAATGCTCACTTCCAGCCCTGGTCTCCTGGCTGGCATACACCATTTAGTCATTCATTCATTCATTCATTTATTTATTTAGTGAGACAGAGTCTTGCTTGTGCATGAATGTGTGTTTTGTGAATGTGTCTAAGTGTGTTTAAGTGTGAGCAGGTGTATGGGTATGGATGAGTGTTTGTGTGTGACAGACACACATTGGGCTTCTTCCTGTTTAGGGCCTCCTCTGTGCCTTTACACTGGCTGTTCCCTTTCCCTGGAATTGTGTTCCTGGACATCTGTGTGGCACCTTCCTCCTCTTACATTTTGCTCTCTTTACCTAACTATCCTTCACAAGGGCTTCTTCATCACTCTCTCTTTTTTTTTTTGTTTGAGACAGAGCCTCAAGCTATCCCCCTGGGTAGAGTGCCGTGGCATCACAGCTCACAGCAACCTCCAACTCCTGGGCTCAAGCGAGTCCCTGCCTCTGCCTCCCAAGTAGCTGGGACCACAGGCGCCCGCCACAACGCCCGGCTATTTTTTTTTTTGGTTGTAGCCATCATTGTTGTTTGGTGGGCCCAGGCTGGATTCGAACCCGCCACCTTAGGTGTATGTGGCTGGCGCCTTAGCCACCTGAGCCACAGGCGCCGAGCCCATCACTCTCTCTACAACTGCAGCACCCTCTTTCCTGCTTTCTCTGTCTCCTAGCCCTGCCTTCCATCCACATTTCTGATATTTTACTTTATTGTGTTTATTTTGTGTTGTCCCTCACTGGGCTGTCAGCCCCTTGTGAGACAGGGAGTTTTGTCCATTACTGCTGTGTCCACAGGCAGGTAGGTACACAGCAGGTGCCTATAAGATGTTTGACAAATGTCTGTGAGAGTGCAGGTCCTGGAGCGTAGAATGGCAGAGGGAAAGAGAGCTGGGGCCAGCTCAGAATATATCACTACGTCAGGGGGAGGAGGTCACTGCAAGCTTCAGGAAAGTTTTGGGAGGGAATGGGTGTGGTCATGTGGCTGAGACAGGTGGGCTGGGCTAGACTTCCTCACTCACCATTTCTCTCTCAAACTTCCATCCCTTCTTCCCCCAGCAATCCCACCCTACTATCCCCCTTCCTGTCTCCTGACTCCTGTGACTGGGCATTCCCAGTCCAGCCTTCCAGCCTTTGCTTAGGCTGTGTCTGCTTCCCTGGAATCCCTTCCTCTTGCTTTCCCAAATGCTTCTCACTCATTCAGTAACAGCTCTGGGGACTGTTAATCTTCACATCTCTCCAGTATCTAATACTGCATCTGGCCCAATTCTATTGCCCATGGAGAATACTCAGTTCCTGGGGCGGAGGAAGTAGAGGGAGCAGGGAGTGTGATGAGGCCTCTGGAGCCACATCCGGAAGGAAGGACTTGGGGGAGTCTCAGTCCTGCTTCCTCTCCCTTCAGTCTCCTGCCCCCACAGCTCCACTGTCAAAACCTTGGGGGTCTTTGCATTGGTTAAGGTTACACTTAAGCTGCTCTGACGGGACACCCCTGAATAAATACATGCACCTAAACAAGATCAGAGTTTGAAAAACACTAGGTGCCAACACCAACACCCTGTCTCTGTTCCTCCCAGATCCCAGCCCTTAAAAGGCCCTTAGCCTGCTAACTTTCACCTCATTGGACAGAAGTAGGTAGCATGCACTTTTGCCTACAAGGGAGGGGAGTCTGGGATATGGTGTCTCTGGCTGGAAGCCCAGTGGGTTTTTCTTTTGTGTTTTTCCTTTTTTAGTGAAGTGAGAAATAAACAAACACTATTTAATTATTTACTAATTTACTTTATTTTGAATTGGCAGGATAGTGCAATTTGTTTTTAATGGACTAAAGTTAACCATTTTAAAGTCAATATTTCAGCAGAGCCCAGTAGCTCAACACCTGTCATACTTGCACTTTGGGAGGCTCAGGCTAGAGGAGCATTTAAGAGCAGGAGTTCATGACCAGCCTGGGCAACAGAGTGAGACAGTGTCTCTACAAAAACTTAAAAATTTAGCCAGGCATGGTGGCAGGTACCTATAGTAATAGCTACTAAGGAGGCTGAGGCAGGAAGATTGCTTGAGATCAGGAGTTGGAGGCATCAGGGACCTATGATGAGGTCATTGCACTCCAGCCTAAGCAATGGAGCAAAACCCTACCTCTAAAAAATAATTCAGTGGTATTAACCACATCGACAGTGTTGTACAACCACTACTTCTAGAACATTCCTTCACTCCAAAAGGAAACCCAATACCTGTTAGCATTCACTTCCCATTTCCCCCCCAACCCTAGCGCCTGGCAACCACTGACCTGTTTTCTGTCTCTATGGATTTGCCTGTTCTGGGCATTTCATGTAAGTGGAGTCATACACCATGTGGCCTTTTGTGTCTGGCTTCTTTCACTCCGCATTGTGTTTCCCACCTTCATTCATGTTGTCCTGTATATTGGTGCTTCGCTCCTTTTTAAGAATAATATTACTGGCTCGGCCCCTGTGGCTCAAGCAGCTAAGGCGCCAGCCACATACACCTAAGGTGGCGGGTTCGAATCCCCAGCCCAGGCCCGCCAAACAACGATGGCTGCAACCAAAAAATGGCCAGGCGTTGTGGCGGGCGCCTGTAGTCCCAGCTACTTGGGAGGCTGAGGCAGGAGACTCGCTTGAGCCCAGGAGTTGGAGGTTGCCGTGAGCGTGATGCCATGGCAGTCTACCCAGGGGGATAGCTTGAGGCTCCGTCTTAAAAAAAAAAAGAATAATATTACTATATGGGTATGCTGTGTTTTGTTTATCCATTCACTTATTGGTGGACACTTGGGTTGTCTCTACTTTTTGGTGATTGTGAATAACCCTACTGTGAATGTGCATGTATGAAGATTTGCTTAAACATCTGCTTTAAGTTCTTTAGGGTACAGCAGTCTCCGTTATCCATTGGGGATACGTTCCAAGACCCCTAGTGGATGCCTAAAACCACAGATAGCATGGAACTGTATATATACTGTTTTTTCCCCATGCATACCTAAGATAAAGTTTAATTTATAAATTAAGCACAGCAAGAGATTAACAGCAATAACTGCTAATTAGGCTGAGCTTGGTGGCTAATGCCTATAATCATAGCACTTTGGGAGGCCAAGGTGGGAGGACTGCTTGACTTAGACCAGCCTAGACAATAGCAAGATCCTGTCTCTATAAAAAGTAGAAAACCAGTCCAGTTGTGGTGGTGCACACTCCTGTAGTCCCAGATACTCAGGATGCTAAGGCAAGAAGATCATTTGCACCCAGGAGTGTGAGGGTGCAGTGAGATATGATGACACTACTACACTCTAGCTGGGGTGACACAGCCAGGACTTTTCTCAAAAAAAAGGAAAAACCTAATAATTAAGTTATTATTAGTAAAGTATTAATAAATAAAATAAGAATTGCTTGAACACAAGCACTACAGTACTGTGACAGATCTAATAATAGAGACGGCTACCGTGACTAATGGGCAGATAACAGATACAGCATGAACGTGTCCTGGAAAGTGTGAGATCTCATCATGCTAATCAGAATGGCATGCAATTCAAAACTTAAGAATTATTAATTTCTAGAATTTTCCATTTAATATTTTTGGACTGAGGTTGACTGCAGGTAACTCAAACTATAAAAAGTGAAATCACAGAAAACAGGGACAAGTGTACACATCCAAGAGTGAGATTGCTGGGGTAAATGATAACTAACTTTTTGAGGCCTGTGTTCCAGCTGAGGTGGGTGGATATGGACAGACCCTCCTGTGTCCTGTTCCCCACCCTCTTCTTTGTGTCTCCCTCCATGCTGGATCCTTAGCCCTTTCTTGTTTAACACATACTGGTTAAGGGCAGGGTTGAAGGGGAGACACAGGGATCCTCACTGCCCCATACCTGTTGGGAAGCCTCTCACACTACTTCCTCCTGTATGCCCACAGCCTGCCTGAGCTAGACGTAGCCTACTCTAAGAAAGGAGGAGGACCCTGACTGTAGGGACACACAGCAAATTGGCACAACTTTTTGTTGTTAAATAGGTTCCCCTTTACATTCTAGTCCGATTCCTCAAGAATGGCTTTTCCCATTCTCTACTGGCTGCTCTGGCTGCCAGTCCTTATAATAGCACTGTCCAAAAGGTGGGATGCGTCCACAAGATGATCTGAGTTGTACACAGCTGAAGCATTTCCTTGAGAGTATGTTTGCAAAGACACCACTTTATATGCATGGTTTCACGTGTATTCTTCTTTGGTAAACAATGCTGAGGCTTAAAAGTCGAATTTTACTGGTAATCCTAGCACTGGGAGAGGCCAAGGCAGGAAGATTGCTTGAGCCCAGGAGTTCAAGACCAGCCTGAGCAAGAGTGAGATTCCATCTCTATTAAAATTAGAAAAATTAAGGCCAGGCATAATGGCTCATGCCTGTAATCCTAGCACTCTGGGGGCCCAAGGTGGGTGGATTGCCTGAGCTCAAGAGTTCAAGACCAGCCTGAGTAAGAGTGAGACCCCAGCTCTAAAAATAGCCAGGCATTGTGGCTGGCACCTGTAGTCCCAGCTACTTGGGAAGCTGAGGCAAGAGGATGCTTGAGCCCAAGAGTTTGAGGTTGCTGTGACCTATGATGCCACAGTATTCTACGGAGAGTGATAAAGTAAAACTCTGTCTCAATAAAAAAAAAAAAAAATAGAAAAATTAGGGGGGTGTTGTGGTAGGCAGCTGTAGTCCCCACTACTCAGGAGGCTAAGGCAGGAGGATCACTTGAGCTCAGGAGTTCAAGACCAGCCTAAGCAAGAGCAAGACCCTGTCTCCACTAAAAACAGAAAAATTAGCCAGGAATCATGGGAGGCTGAGGCAGGAGGATCACTTGAGCCCAGAAGTTTCAGATTGCTGTGAGCTAGGCTAATGCTCTAACACTCAAACCTGGGAAATAGAGTGAGACACTATCTCAAAAAATAATAAATAAAATTCTTAAAAAATTCCAAAGATGTAATAATATCTATAGTATTCCACTCAGAATGAAAGTGATAAGGGGTGACCAGGAAAGCACTGCTTATGGGGTGATGCCTTTATCCTAGCCCTGAGCACTGTGCCTAGGCTGAAAATAGAAAAACTATGTTTGGCAGGAAAGAGACAGGCAGGAAACAGAAAACAATGCCCACATGAGGCCTTTGAGTTTGATTTCCAGCTCCATGGCACCTTCCCAGTTTGGGTGTGTCCTGTTCCTCTCTTGACCCTGGAGGCCCTCTGTAGCAAGATCACTTTCTCAGCACTCTGTCTCTTCCCTGCAGGTGTAACAATCGCACCCAGTGCGTGGTGGTCGCTGGTTCTGATGCCTTTCCTGACCCCTGTCCTGGGACCTACAAGTACCTGGAGGTGCAGTACGACTGTGTCCCCTACAGTGAGTCATCTTGTTCCTTGTGCGGATGCGGGCCCTCCCCCCACAGAGCAATCGAGGAGGAGATACCTTGACCCACCACCACACATGTACATGCATGCATGGGGGCTGGAGGGAATGGTGTGCCTGCTCTCTCCCTCACACCTTCCTTCTCCCAGATACCCTGGTTTATACTCAGGATCTATTCCCCTGCCTCACAGGGGGTATTTGTCCAACTCCTTACTCCTTCACATACCTCTTGCTCGTTTACATGCCCCCAGACCATGCTCCTGTGCTTTGCTTGGCACATTTACATCTCTCTTCTCCCTTGGTCTTGCTATCTTTCTCATCCATCTCCCTCCCTGCCCTGTTCACACCGTTCTCTTCTTGAGCTCCTGCAGGCACCTTCTTCTTCCTCTCATTCATGCGGCTGCTTCTTTTAACTCCCTCTCCTTCCTCTCATCACCTCACTCCCCACATGCCCCCACTGCTCTTCCCAGTTGTGGAAGTTGGACTGTACACTCGTAGAGAGGCAGATCACCCTCTGAGGGCTGGTAGCAGATCTGGTGCCAAGGGCTGGGGCATTTTCAACAGATTCATATCTCCCCGTTGGTTTGGCCATTACCATGATAGCACTTCCTGTCTACAGAGGAAGTGCTGCCATGTTAGACTGAGGGTGGCCTCTAGGAAGCCTGAGGAATGTGATATGGAGAGCCAGAAGCCTGGCTGTCTTACACCTGGCAAAGGGGAGCAGACAAAGACAGGGTCTCTCCTCCTCAGCACCCTGCCCTTAACATTGCCCTTCTTTCCTGCCTTTTCTCTTCCCTCCCTCCTCCCCATCACCTCTTCCCTTTCCTCACCTGCCAGGCTCCATGTAGCCAACCTGGAGGTGGGACCTCTAGGCAGAGGGGGGAGGAGGCAGGGCCACCAGGGTGTCTTAGTGTGGTGGGCAGGGGCAGGGAACCAAGAGACCCTGTAACTCTCCCCTCCCGCTGCAGCCTTTGCCACCCAAACTTTGATTTCTCCTTGCAGGTGACTCGATGACGCTGGGGGAAATAGGATCCCTTATGTGCTTCCATAATTTTCTTCTTTTACCTCTTGCCCTTTCCTTTCAGCACCTGTGGACTTCAGCCACCATCTGAGGGGGTCGCCCATCTGCTCCTTGAAGCCTCCCCACAGCACTGGGGACACTGCCCATCCCCATGGCTGGGGCAGCAGGGAAGGCAGGCGGAAGGCATTGAGCTTAGCACAGAGGGAAATTCAGATGGGCCTGAGTTTGAGGCTCAGCTGGGCTCTTGAATTTTTCTGGCTCTGAAATCTTGAGCTAGTGACTTAATTTCTCTGGGCCACTGCAGGAGGCGAGAGTCTGTAAGAGGATGAGAAGCACTTGGCCCAGGGCCGGCCACAGAGTCCACTCCTAGTGTCAGAGTTTTGAATGCTGAGTATATAATAAACTCCCTGAAGGCAGAGTCTCCATCTTCACACCTCAGCGCCCAGACCTATGCCTGGTTCAGGATGTGCTCAGTAATGGTATGGATGCTTTTTCAGCCAGCTGAGTCCGTTCATTTACCTGTGATGAGGAGGGAGAAATCAAAAGCCATCCCAGGGATTCTGTGAAGGTAGAGACAATGTGAGTAAAGTTTGCATGTGCCCAGAGCCATAGGTGCGAAGGAGACATTTCCTGCTTCTGCGAGCCATGTGGCCTTGGCCACCTGGCTTCACTTCATTGGGCCTATATAGACAGAGTTCCTGTCTATTGACAGTTCTCAAAAGATTGCCTGTATGGTGCCTAGCATAGGTCCCAGCACCTTGTAAACATGGGACACTTGTTACTCATTTCATATTTTGCGACTACTGATAGTGTCTCTCATTAAATATTTTTACTTCTGTGGTTATCAAAATAAAAATTGCAACAGATGATGAACCTAATGCCCTTGGGACAAGCAAGATAAAGGGCAAGAAAAATTCCCTGGTCCAAGTATAGTTTAAAGCAAGTAGATAGCATCCAAATGATGAAGCAGGAAAAAATCTTGAGGGCCTGAGAGGAGAGCTACTGAGAGACCTTGGAACTAAGCCCCTGAAAGTGGTCCAGGAGGCACAACCTACAGAGACCAGGAGGGCTCTGGGGACAGAGGGCAGGACAGGGGGAGAGCTAGACTGAGCCCTCCGGAAGACAGGACACACATGTGCACACATGCACATGGTGGATATCTGGGGCAGAGCTGGGGGACCTCGCTGGCTCCTCATCCTCCAGAGGAAAGGGGCTGGAGTTATGAGGTGGGGGACAGAAGGTAGCTGAGAGAATAGGGAGGCTGGGCACCCACTTGTACCTGAAATGTTTGCTGAGCACCTCCTGAGTGCCAGGCCCTGGGTGAGGCGCTGGGAAGGGAGCCAAAGACTGCCCCTGCGGAGCTCCCTGCTGAACCCTTTAAAGGCATCCCAGCCAGAGGTTCCTGAGGGGCCAGGACACAAAGCTTGGAGGGGAGCGGCCTGGGCAGCTGGCTGGCCCGGGGCTTAAGAGGCTGGGGTGACCCCAGTGCTGGTGAGGGTGGGTGGTAGGGGGCACTGGATGCGTGGGGACCCCTCCACACTGGAGAAGCCAAACTAACGCTGGATTTGCCTTGCAGCTGAGCACAGCCTAACCACTCCCCTTCCTCCCCCAGGTGCTCCCGCCCACTGGGCAGCAGGCAGGTGCAGTGCTCCTGGCTCTGGGGGCCCTGGGCCCTGGGTTGGGCTGAGCAGAGAAGCTGAGCCTCCTTGCCTTGTCCCAGGGGAGCGTGGGAGCGTGTCTGTGCCCCGATCAGCTGTCCTGCCCAGTCTGTGTCACCTGCCCCAACACCTCTCTGCCTGTCTCCCCTGCCCTGGCTCTCTCTGAGCCCCAGGTGCATCTGCCTGTTTGCCTCTCTGTCGTTCTGTGTCTGGCTCTGCCACCCTCTCTCTGTGTTTGCTTTTTCTGGGTTATAAGGGTTTGGGGGTGACTCAGCGGGACTTGGGGCAGCAAGCACAAAGGGAAAGGGGTTCAGCCTATTCTCTAAGCCAGGGGGGTACCCAGGCCCTGGGAGACCCTGAACCCCATCCCCTTGGGCCCCTGGTTCTAGCAGCAGGAGGGCAGCAGGCATGGTGGGAGAGGAGCTGATTGGCCTTTTCACCCCACCATTTCCTGATGTCCCCCCAACCAGACCCCAGCTGCTAGCTGGGGGTCCCCCCTCCCTGCCTCCTCTGTACCTGAGGGCTCTGTCCACCTGCCTACCTGTCCCCTCCCCACACACCTGGTGTCTCTTTTTGTCTCTTCCCTCCTGTGTGGCCCCGTCCCTCTGACTGTCTCCCTGGTACCCTCTCGCCCCACTTTACCCCAGAGGAAGGGACTTGGGGGTGGGGGACAATCTGATGCTACTACTACAGAAGGGGTTGGGGAAGCAGGAACGAGGAAGGAAAGGAAAAAGGGGGCATGTTGCCAGAAAAGAAACAAAAGCAATTTAATCTCTTTTTTTTCTCTTTTTTTCTTGCACATTTTTTTTTCAATTTGTTTTCTCTCTCTCTTCCGATGCTTAAAGTAGAAGTGGAGCAGAAAGGTAAACGCACTGTTACCAATGCTAACCCCTAACTCACACTTTGTTCTACCTGTGCCATACTTATGTCACCCGCCCTACTCTCCTGGCCCCTTCTTCTCCCCCAACCCCCACTTGGTCCAGTTGCTATTCCCCACCCCGGGGTGTCCTCCCCGGTGGGGCCAGCCCCAGTGCAGCCACGGGCCTCTGCACCCTCCAGATATCTACGGAAGCTCCTCTCTGAGCTCGGGCAGGATTTTCTCTCTCCCTCTGCCTGCTTTTCTCTCTTTCTTTATGCCTCTCTCTCTTTCTCTGTCTCTCCCTGTCCCTCCTTCCTGGTCCCTGCCCTTGCAGGGGACCTGACCTTCTCTCATCCTTCTTTTGCCTCCTTCAGGAGAAGTTTATAATTGGGTGGGGAGGGAGGGACTCCCTCCAGGGCGGGGGGGGCACTGGGTGAGCTGTCTCTCTCTCTTTTCTCTTCCTCTTTCCCTGCACCTTTTTATAACATGTTTCTGGTTCAAGGGAGGCGGGATGGAGGGGACATCTTCGTTTTCCTTTGGGGGAGCAGATTTCTCCTATCTCTTGGGCTCCTGGTGGCTTAAGTTCTTGTGGTTTGGCGTTTCCCAGAGCTGTTTTGGAACATGGAGCACCAGCCCCCCCAATCCCACCCCAACCCCCGTTCCTGGCCAGCTGAGGGCCCCAGGGAGGGGTGTCAGCTGTCCCCAGCCCTGGGTGGGGGTAGCCTACCAAAAAAAAATGAAGGGAGGGGGCGCGGGTGGGCCTGATGGTGGGGGGAGCGTGGGGTGGGGGAGCGTTTTCTCTATTTCTTTCACACTTGCAAAGCTGCAGTCAGGGTTTCTTCTGGGCTGTTGTGGTTAGAGGACCAGGGAGAGGGGCGGGGGAGAGGCACAGTCTGGGGACTTCCACAAATACCGTAATTTCTTGCAGAGAACTCCACAGCAAATGGGGCTGTCCATTACTGGGGGAGGTGGGTGTTTCAGCTGAAGGGATTTGAGGGTGGGATATCTGTCTGGGATTGTAACCTCCTCCCCAGAAGATTTGGGAAACTGACAGATCTGAGGCCACAGCAAGGACATCCTTTTTGACTTGAAATTACGGTGGTCTGTGGAGCATCCCCTGTGAGGGGCGTGGGGCGGGGTTCCTCTGAGCTGCTCCCCTCCCCATCCTGCCCCCATCCCCATCTCAGAGAGGCCTGGGCTGCCAGCCTGAGGTCTGCCCCTCGCTGCACCCCTGCACTCTCCCTCTCTCTCTCTCCTGGCACCAGCCGCTCTTCTTGCAGGCCTGTGTTGGTGGTTTGGATGTAGCAGCATTGGAGATTTTCTCTTCAAGGAGGGGTGGGGCAGGTGGGGGGCAGGGGAGCGAAGAAGAGGAGGTGTTGGGAGCTTGGTGCTGGGGAGGGGTCCTCGCTGTCCAAGGCCCCAGACAGACCCTTCCTCATCTTCTCCCCCTTCCCCCAGGGTGACCTAACCACATTTTTCCTTCCCTGACACCCTCTTACCAGGTCAGGCTCTGAGATCTCCCATTGTCCCCTTCACACACAGACATATCTCCTCATATGCCACACACCTGCAGGGGGCCCCGGCTTGGGCAGAGGGGAGACCCGGGGCACAGAGGAAAAGGGAAGAGACCAGTGTGCTGGACAAAGGGTATAGGCTGACCCCTTGGGGGTGCCAGGGACAGGGAGATGGCCAGGCCCTAGGGTCTAAGCCAGGATCCATGGTGGCTTCTGCCCACCTCTGTGCCCCAGGCTCCCTTTCCCCTACAAAAATGGGACATGCTTCTGGCTGTTTTGTGCCGTGAGATCCTTAAGCCAAGCAGCCCCCATGCTGTAAAAGGCGGGCTGTGTATCTCCCTTACCCTCCAGGCCTGCTGGAAGTGAGGAGTGGTCCCTGCCCAAGACCTTCCTGCCACCAGGGCTGCCGCCCAAGCCGGTGCCAGGTCCCAGCCTTCCCTGTACCCCTTGCTGCCAAGCAGGAGCAGAGAATTCACTGCAGACTCTCCCACCCCTACCCTGGAGACCTTGCCCCAGCCTGCCTGTGGGTTCTGCTAACAGAAAGATAAGAGGGAGGCCCAGTCATCCTGGATGGAGGGGGGCCTGGCCACACCAACCCCACTGGATCATCAAGGGGAGGCCAGGAGTAGGTGGCGCTGGGATGTGTCGGGGCAAGGGTGGGCAGGCCAGCGGCGGCCAACGAGATGCAGTTGAGGTTTTCCTCCTTTTCAGGGAATGGGGGGGTGGGGCGGGGCCCCCCACCTTTCTGACATCAGCGATGCCTTGGTCCCTCCTCCCGAGCCGGGGATGGTCGCAGGTAAATCGGGATCCGGGCAGGGGAGGTGGGGGGACCTGGCTGGGGCGGGCTGGGTCTTTATCCTAGCACCTGGTTCCCTCCCTTGCCCCCTCTGAGCCGGACCTGGGACTGCCCCCCTGAGGGACCCTCAGTCGGGCCTGGGCCTTGGAGTGAATTCTCTGCTCACCCCCCTCTCTCCTCCACCAGCACTAACCCTTTCTTCCCAGGTGGTCTCCAGCACGCCCTCACCCAGCCCTTGGAGCCAGGACCTCGCGAGCCCCCCGACCCTTGTCTCTCTTCCCTCCGCGCAGCTCTCCTTTCCCCTCCCCAACTCTCCTGGGAGTCCTATCCCTCTCCATGTCCCCACCCCCCATTCCCTGTGCACCAGTGTCAGTGTCTACTGCTGAGCCAGACCCCATGAGAGACCCTGCCGGCTGGGGGCAGGACTGGGTGCCCTCACGGAGGGGCTGGACTCTTCCATTCCCTATCTTAGCCTGGGAGCTGCCTCTAGGAATCCCTTCCTCAGCTACTGCCTTTGTGGGTACTGGGTATCGGGGGATACAGATAATCAGAAACCTGGGGAGAGAGTTGATGCCCCATACCTTCCCCACCCTGGAATAGGGGACGCTCCTGACACCCACAATGGGTACGGGAACATCACTATCTTGCAATTTTTGCAGGAGGAAGAGAGTGGAGTTTAAACAAAAAAAAAATTAAAAATCTCTATCCTGGTTTGGTTGGTGAAGGATGGGACCCTGGACTCCTAGCTCTTCCCTAGGGGGCCAAGAGGAAGGAGAAGGGACCAGGTGCTGAGTACCTGGACACCAAAGCTAGGAGTGACTGCAGTAGGAAGAATCTTTGTCCACCCTAGCTTAAATCACACCAGACCATCTCTGGGAGGGTTCTTACCAAACTCCCTCTTCCCAGCCTGTGGGGTCTCTAAGCAGCCAGGGAAGGGGAAGGGCACCACTCTACCCCAACTAATCCCATTCTTAATGGCTTCCAGGGTTCACATCTCCAGGGAGAGGGGCAGCTGGGCTGGGCAGGGGGAGGGGGTCCCAATCTGGAAACCCCCTTCCCATCACCAGCCCTTCCAAGCAACCATGACTGCAGCAGCAGGAGGGGACAACCTGGGTCCCCCCTCAGCAGCTTGATCAACTTGCCTCTTCTCCCCTCTCTTTCCCTGTCTGCCTCTACCTCTCCTCTGTTACCCCCTCCCTGCCCTCCTGCCCTGCCCAGTCTTCGTATGCCCAGGGACCCTGCAGAAGGTGCTGGAGCCCACATCCACGCATGAGTCAGAGCACCAGTCTGGCGCCTGGTGCAAGGACCCACTGCAGGCGGGCGACCGCATCTACGTAATGCCCTGGATCCCCTACCGCACGGACACTCTGACTGAGTACGCCTCTTGGGAGGACTACGTGGCAGCACGCCACACTACCACCTACCGCCTACCTAACCGTGTGGATGGCACTGGCTTCGTGGTCTACGATGGTGCTGTCTTCTACAACAAGGAGCGCACGCGCAACATTGTCAAGTATGACCTGCGGACGCGCATCAAGAGTGGGGAGACAGTTATCAACACCGCCAACTACCACGACACCTCACCCTACCGCTGGGGGGGCAAGACTGACATCGACCTGGCAGTGGATGAGAATGGGCTGTGGGTCATCTACGCCACCGAGGGCAACAATGGGCGACTAGTGGTGAGCCAGCTCAACCCCTACACACTGCGCTTTGAGGGCACATGGGAGACAGGCTATGACAAGCGTTCGGCATCCAACGCCTTCATGGTATGCGGTGTCTTGTACGTGCTACGCTCTGTATATGTGGATGATGACAGTGAGGCAGCCGGCAACCGCGTGGACTACGCCTTCAACACCAATGCCAACCGCGAGGAACCTGTCAGCCTTGCCTTCCCCAATCCCTACCAATTCATTTCCTCCGTTGACTATAACCCTCGTGACAACCAGCTTTATGTGTGGAATAACTACTTTGTGGTGCGCTACAGCTTGGAGTTCGGGCCACCCGACCCCAGCGCTGGTGAGGATGGCTCCATTGGGGGGGGGTGCCTGGGTAGGGCGACTTTAATTTGTCACCTCTATTTAGACCTGCCTATTTTCCAAAAGATTCCGTGGTACTACTGGGCAGGTAGGGGATTAACCCAGGACTTGGCTTCTTTTTTTTTTTTTTTTTTTGAGACAGAGCCTCAAGCTGTCCCCCTGGGCAGAGTGCCGTGGCATTACAGCTCACAGCAACCTCCAACTCCTGGGCTCAAGCGAGTCTACTGCCTCAGCCTCCCAAGTAGCTGGGACCACAGGCGCCTGCCACAACGCCCGGCTATTTTTTGGTTGCAGCCATCATTGTTGTTTGGCGGGTCCGGGCTGGGGATTCGAACCCGCCACCCACCTTAGGTGTACGTGGCTGGCGCCTTAGCCGGTTGAGCTATAGGTGCCGAGCCAGGACTTGGCTTCTAACCACTGACATACACTGCCACTTATGGGAGCTTAGGCATCTTTAGTCCTTTTTAGCCCTTAAATCCACCAAACTCTCCGGTGAAGCCCAGTGTCTATAAAACAGAAAAGCCAAGCTGCTGCTGTTGCCTTGCTCGAGGCCCCCCCATAGTCTCATTTTACCCCCTCAGCTGCCCTAATCCAGCTCTCTGCAACCTCAGGTCTCCAAGGCTGCTGTCATAGCACCTCATTTGCAAAAGGGGGAAACTGAGATCCCAGAGAGAGGTTGCAGAGACTAGAATGAGCTAGAACAGAGTGGGAGGTTGTGGTGTTCAAAGCCTCTGGATGCCTCTTAAGCAGCCTCTGCTCTCTGGACTGCTCTCAGACCTCAGGGGACATACAAGTAGATTTTTACCATCTTTTGATACTTTATTGGTCCCTTGGGTATAAGGGATTCTATGGGCACAGAGAGGCCAGGGCAGATCTGTCCCTAGACCCAGGGGTTCTCAGGACACTTTTCCCTTTCAGGGGGCAAGAAACATGCTTAGTTGGCAGGGCCCAGAGCATGGGGGTGACCCTGTCTCATATATCCCTCCCTTCTAGGCCCAGCTACTTCCCCACCCCTCAGCACAACCACCACAGTCCGGCCCACACCTCTCACCAGCACAGCCTCACCTGCAGCCACCACCCCGCTTCGCCGGGCACCCCTCACCACGCACCCAGTGGGTGCCATCAACCAGCTGGGACCTGACCTGCCACCAGCCACAGCCCCAGCTCCCAGCACACGGCGGCCTCCAGCCCCTAATCTGCATGTGTCTCCTGAGCTTTTCTGTGAGCCCCGAGAGGTACGGCGGGTCCAGTGGCCAGCCACCCAGCAGGGCATGCTGGTGGAAAGGCCCTGCCCCAAGGGCACACGAGGTGAGTACAGAGCTGGGCTATCTTCACTGTGGCTGCCAGGGGACGTGGGGGGCATGTTCCATGAGCAGCTTAGTACAGATGCACATACAGGTGGCCTTTCCTGCTGGAGCGGGGACTTTCTGAGAGCAGGGGTCATCCAGAGTTCCCAGCACAGTGACTCAGTCAATTCCCCAGGCTGTACCTGCACAGCTTACAGGGAGCCTACATGAAGTGACTTGACTCCCAGCCTCAGGCTGACCTGGGACAGCACTGGGAACAGCCAATTGGAAGATGGGGGCTGAGTGCTCTAGAGTCCAAGGGGAGGGTCAGAAAAGGCTTTGTGGAAAGGGAGCCTTCTGATGGGCCTTGCTGGAAGGTTCTAATTCTGGTAGTCAAAGACAAAAAGGGAGCCAAGAGAGAGAGCTCAGCACCAGTGAGGGGTGGCTTATGTCACCAGAGAGCAACACCTCTCTTGACTGTCTGGCCTGCTTCATGTCTGTTTTTCCATGTTCCCCTCACCTCTCTCTTCGCCCACATGTCCCTTGCTCTCTGTCATATCCTTTTCCCCTCCATCGGCCCATCCTTCTCTCCTACCCTTTGGCTCCCTTGTCTGTTCCTGTCCGTCTGTCCCTGCAGGAATTGCCTCCTTCCAGTGTCTACCAGCCCTGGGGCTCTGGAACCCCCGGGGCCCTGACCTCAGCAACTGCACCTCCCCCTGGGTCAACCAGGTGGCCCAGAAGGTACCAGCCACCGCAGCCCCCCTGCAGGCAGGCACATTTGCTTGGGCCCAGGGCCCAGCATGGGTAGTGGAGCAACTGGGGAGACAAAACATGGGCTGGCAGGTCTGGAAGGCAGGACTGTGGGGTCCCTCCCTCCCTCCCGGCCTACAGAGGGAGCAGAGACAGACGGGGTGGGAAGGGGCCGATAGGGAGAAGGGGGAGCAGAGAAAGGGGTGGGAGGGGATGTACAGGGAAGGGGAGAGGAAACATTGGGGAGAACAGGATGGTCCCTGATAGAGCTGGGGTCCCCCCTCCTCCCATAACTTCATGCAGATCAAGAGCGGAGAGAATGCAGCTAACATCGCCAGTGAGCTGGCCCGCCACACTCGGGGCTCCATCTATGCGGGGGATGTTTCATCATCTGTGAAGCTGATGGAGCAGCTTCTGGACATTCTGGATGCCCAGCTGCAAGCCTTGCGGCCCATTGAACGCGAGTCGGCTGGGAAGAACTACAACAAGGTGGGACCAGGCTGCCACCCACACAGTGCTTCATCAGAAAGGCAGGACCTGGGCGGTGCCTGTGGTTCAGTGGGTAGGGCGCCAGCCCCATATACCAAGGGTGGCGGGTTCAAACCCAGCCCTGGCCAAACTGCAACAAAAAAATAGCCAGGCATTGTGGCAGGCACCTGTAGTCCTAGCTACTCAGGAGGCTGAGGCAAGAGAATCGCCTAAGCCCAGGAGTTGGAGGTTGCTGTGAGCTGTCTGAAGCCATGGCACTTTACCGAGGGTGATAAAGTGAGACTCTGTCTCTACAAAAAAAAAAAAAAAAGAAAAGAAAGGCAGGACCCCAAGGGCTGTTGGGCCTTGTTCCTGTGCTGCCCTGGGTGGTCCTAGGGGTTGGAGATCCCTAAGGAATATCTCCTGCTGAGGGTCTAGCCCCAGACTGGTGGTAGCCACAGAAGAGCAAGCTCTCCAGGGCCCACATATGATAGTGCTGGGGTTACCGGGGGCAGTGCCCAGAGGCCCAGCCTAACACTGCCTGCATCTCTTTCCGTAGATGCACAAGCGAGAGAGAACTTGCAAGGATTATATCAAGGTGAGACCCAGAGAGTCCCCAGCATAAGGACCATGGGTTCCAGTTCACTGAGGCACTTGGGGAGGTGGAGGTTGAGAGTGGGGCCCCAGAGCCTGCTCCAAGGAATGAAAGGATATTGGGGGACTCATAGCACTGCTGTCCCCCACCCATACAGGCTGTGGTAGAGACAGTGGACAATTTGCTCCGGCCGGAGGCTCTTGAGTCCTGGAAGGACATGAATGCCACAGAGCAGGTGCACACAGCCACCATGCTCCTGGATGTCCTGGAGGAGGGTGCCTTTCTCCTGGCTGACAATGTCAGGGAGCCTGCCCGCTTCCTGGCTGCCAAGGAGAATGTAGGTGAGTGCTACTGTCAGTCACCCCTGGGGAAGGTCAAGCATGAATCTTAAACTGTGAGGGGGGCTGGCCTAGAGACCACAAAGGATGGCCCTGGTCCCTCTTGCCCTCAACCTTGGGCCTCGTTCTTTAGCCTGAGTCCTTGGATGGGGTATAGACCTCACGTGCCTGTGCCTTGCCATCCCTGTCCCCACAGTCCTGGAGGTCACAGTCCTGAACACAGAGGGCCAGGTGCAGGAATTGGTGTTCCCCCAGGAGGAGTACCCAAGAAAGAACTCTATCCAGCTATCTGCCAAAACCATCAAGCAGAACAGCCGCAATGGTCAGTGTCCCCCCAGGCCCCTAGTCCTGTGCTGATATCTCTGCTCCATTTATGGAGAGCAGTAGTCCTGAACATTTGTCAGCTTTTATCCACTCGAACTAATGTGAAAAATAGAGGAGATTTGTGGGTCCCTTGAAGCCCTGCAGAATGTTGGGGTGAGCCTTACTGCTTGCAATAGCCCAGTGGGTCCTCACAGCTCAAGAGAGGATTGTGCCATTTGAGACAAAGGCTCGGAGAGGTTAGAAATTTGCCCAAGGTCATACCCAAGTTAGGGTTTGTCAAAGACCCAGCTCCTGTGTTTCCTGGCCCACTGCTCACAACTAAGCAGTGGTCTCATGGAAAGGGCTTCTCAACCTAGCACAGTGGCCTCACACCTGTAATCCTAGCACTCTGGGAGGCTGAGATGGGTGTATTGCCTGAAGCTCGACACCATTTCTACTAAAAACAGAAAAACTCGCTGGGTGTTGTGATAGGCGCCTGTAGTCAGTTACTGAAGCAGAAGGATCACTTGAGCCCAGGAATTTGAGGTTTCTGTGAACTGGCCTGATGCCATGGCACTCTAGCCTGGGCAACAGAATGAGGCTGTCTAAAAAAGAAAGAAAGGGTTCCTCAAGTTCTCAAGTCCCCCTTCCCTAGACTGTGGCATGGTTTCAGAGGTCCCAGTGGCTGGGGACTACTGGCCCATCCAACTGTGCCTATCTTCCCTAGGGGTGGTCAAAGTTGTATTCATTCTCTACAACAACCTGGGCCTCTTCCTGTCCACGGAGAATGCCACAGTGAAGCTGGCAAGTGAAGCAGGTGCAGGTGGCCAGGGTGGTGCCTCCCTGGTGGTAAATTCACAGGTCATTGCGGCATCCATTAACAAGGAGTCCAGCCGCGTCTTCCTCATGGACCCTGTCATCTTCACCGTGGCCCACCTAGAGGTGAGCTGAGTCATCCCCCTCCCACCTTGGGGGTCCCAGCAATCTCTTCGCTTCCAGGCTGCATATCTCCATCCACTCTCACTGTATGTTCACCCACAGAGCAGGTTACCACCTCTCCCACTTTAGTAGTATGGGCTGCTTGTCCCCCAGAGATCTCAGACTATAACATGGAGTCCCAAGCCTCAGGCACTCCTCTCAATACTTTTCACTATCTCAATCTCTGGATGTGCGGTGCTGAGATGGGACTCCCCAATTCTGATACCTTGGCCACCACCACACAACAGGACAAGAACCACTTCAATGCTAACTGCTCCTTCTGGAACTACTCGGAACGTTCCATGCTGGGCTACTGGTCAACCCAGGGCTGCCGCCTGGTGGAGTCCAACAAGACCCATACCACGTGTGCCTGCAGCCACCTCACCAACTTCGCTGTGCTCATGGCTCACCGTGAGATCGTAAGCTAGCCAGCGCTCTGCACCCCTGGGTGGGCTCACTTGGTGGCCTTGCTTTGCATGGCTTTCTAGAGAGTGCACACAGCATGGGCGGTGCAGGCAAAAAGGCCAGCTTCGTGGGCGTGGGAGTCCCCGGTCTTGCCTGTGGTGTGAAGCCATACACCTGGTCCTCTCTGGTCCTTTCTGGTCGTGGTCCCACCTTCTCCCAAGGCATTCTGGAGACGGAAACAAATTGGCATCACCTTTGTCATCTCTCCACAGCCTTTCAGAGCATGAAGAAGTGAGCACGCCGCCTGCAGAGGGGTGGGGGCCAGCAAGTTGGCCGGGTGGGCAGCCCCTGGAGGTTCTCGTGGCCCATGGCCTTGCCAAGGGCGCTGCCTGCAGCTGGCACCTGGCCAAGCCCAGAGTGCAAAGCCAGAGCCCCTGAGTGTACCCCCTACTCCTGTCCCCAGTACCAGGGCCGCATCAATGAGCTGTTGCTGTCTGTCATCACCTGGGTGGGCATCGTAATCTCCCTGGTCTGTCTGGCCATCTGCATCTCCACCTTCTGCTTCCTGCGGGGGCTACAGACTGACCGTAATACCATTCACAAGAACCTGTGCATCAACCTTTTCCTGGCTGAGTTGCTCTTCCTGGTTGGGATTGACAAGACTCAGTATGAGGTGAGTTGGGGCTTCGGGGCCAGTGACTATCTGGAAGTAGAGAGGGGGAAGTGGTTGCTATTGGGACAGCTTCTTACCTGTGGGCACTCTCCCCAGATCGCCTGCCCCATCTTCGCTGGCTTGCTGCACTACTTCTTCCTGGCAGCCTTCTCCTGGCTGTGCCTAGAGGGCGTCCACCTCTACCTGCTGCTGGTGGAGGTGTTTGAGAGCGAGTATTCCCGCACCAAGTACTACTACCTGGGCGGCTACTGCTTCCCAGCCCTGGTGGTGGGCATTGCAGCTGCCATTGACTACCGCAGCTATGGCACTGAGAAGGCGTGAGTGTCCCCTTTTTTGCCTTCCACTCCCTTCCCTCCTGTCTGGCTCCCTGCTCAGCACCACTCCTTGGTCCAAGCCCTTTGGGGTGCTGGCCTCTCTTTCTCCTTCTGCTCCCTAAGGCTGCAGCCAGCCTACAGAGTCCCTGGCCTCCCTGGGTTGTTTGTGGAAAAGACCCCTCAGCTTCTCTCTGCCTCAGCCTCATTTCTTTTGCAGCTGTTGGCTTCGAGTGGATAATTATTTCATCTGGAGCTTCATAGGGCCTGTCTCCTTTGTTATCGTGGTAAGTTGAAAGGTAGCACCCCAGCACTGTGTCTCCTTCCTCATCCAGGCTGGCTTTGACTGTAACCCCACTCCAGGCACACTGAGCTGCCAGCTAAGAGGATGATAGCAGGCAGGGTCTGTAGAGCTCAGGCACTGAGGGCTGCTGGCCAGGGAGCTGTGACCTGAGCCTCTGTTGTGTATCAGACTGTGGGCCCTGTCCTCTTAGCAGCAAGTAGTAACATGGAACAGCCAGGTATGCTAGTCAATAACCACAGCACAGCAGGCAGGGAGGGAACTAAAGCTGACACTTTACCAAGCTGCACCCTGGCCTTAGAAGGCACTGAAGGCCAGGCACAGTGGCTCACGCCTGTAATCCCAGCACTCTGGGAGGCTGAGGTGGGTGGATTGCCTGAGCTCAGGAGTTCAATACCAGCCTGAGCCAGAGTGAGACCCTATCTCTAAAAATAGCCAGGCATTGTGGTGAACACCTGTAGTCCCACCTACTTGGAAGCTGAAGAAAGAGGATCACTTGAGCTCAAGAGTTTGAGATTGCTGTGAGCTATGACGCCACGGCATTCTACTAAGGGCGACCAAGTGAGACTCTGTCTCAAAAAAAAAAAAAACTCACTGAAGGAGGTGGAGATGCTCAGCCCAGCCCCTCCCCTTGTCCCACCCCCAGGTGAACCTGGTATTCCTCATGGTGACCCTGCACAAGATGATCCGAAGTTCATCTGTGCTCAAGCCTGACTCCAGCCGCCTTGACAACATTAAGTGAGCCCTGCCTCTGGCCCCTGCCCTGTGTTCCCCAAGCCAGCTTCCCCAGGGTATCCTAAAAGGTGATACTTTTGCCTCTAGTGACACACAACCTGATTGTAAGGATCAAGATGAGTGTTTTATTGTACTCATTATGCACCTACTTAATGGGAATTAGAAAGCATATCATTAGCATGTCCACTCTGTGGTTTGGGGGGCATAACTGTGTTGGGTAAAGCTGAATTCAAAAGGGGAGGCCATTTAAGGGCAACTTAAGGAGAAATGGCCCCCCAAAATGTAGGTTAAATGATCTGGAAATATAAGAAAAAATAATGAAGCTAAGCCAGGCATTGTGGCTGGCACCTGTAGTCCCAGCTATTTGGGAGGCTGAGACAAGAGAATCGCTTGAGCCCAAGAGTTTGAGGTTGCTGTGAGCTATTACGCCACGACACTCCACAACATAGTAAAACTCTGTCTCAAAATAATAAGGATGAAGCTGGCAGGGGAATGATGACCAGTGTTCACAAAACCCTCAACCCAGTATCTTTCCCCCTCAGCCCAGGCTGGGTCACTGCAGACAGTACTAGGCCCACTCAGAGAACCCCTTGCTCCATACAGAGGCAAACAGCAGGACTGTTGAGGTCATCTCCTTGGGTGGGTGGGGGCTCTGACATGTCTGTCCCCCCACACCAGATCCTGGGCCCTGGGGGCCATCGCATTGCTCTTCCTGCTGGGTCTCACTTGGGCTTTCGGGCTGCTATTCATCAATAAGGAATCTGTGGTCATGGCCTATCTCTTCACCACCTTCAACGCCTTCCAGGGGGTCTTCATCTTCGTCTTTCACTGCGCCTTACAAAAGAAGGTAAGGTTAGGGCATGGGCCTAGACCTTGCCTCTCTTGGAGACATTCTCTAAGCACTTAGCAGAGGGACGTGAGGGTGAAGAGGACCCAAACGCTCCCTCAAGCCCTCAGCATGTGCTACAGGCGCTAACCTCTTATGGGCAGACTTGTGGCTGCTGGGAAGGGAGTCTGGCTCAAAGTCTGGGAAGATTTAGCCATGGGTAAAAGGGTTCTGGCAAAAAAAAGCAAGAGATTGTAGCCTAGAGGATAGAGAGTGAGATGGGGGACAGGGTGCCCTTGCCAAGACAAGGGCCATGTATCAGGGAGGCCTTGCAGAAGGGAGAGGACTTTGGGCACCACCCTAAGTGAACATTTCCTATGTTGAATTGTGAATTTTGTAGTGATGAAAAGATTCATTTTTAAATAAACATGTTAAAATCTGAATCTTACCAAAATCTATACACAAAAGAGGCATCAGAAGCAGGGAAAGGTGGAGAGGAGGGAGGAGACAAAGCTGTGGCATTTGCAGACTTAGTCTTAGAGGCAGTGAGGACTGTGGTCAGGTGCTTGCTGACCTAGGAGGAATGTGGGTAAGGTTTAAGGCAGGGTGATGGCAGAGGTGGCTATCAGAAGGATTCTGGTTGTAGAAAAGGTAGACCATGTCCCTACTCTGTCCTAAATTGTCCTGGCCCCCCCTTGGACACACAGTCAAAGGCAATATCCTTATACAGCCCTCACCTCAAACACAGTGTCAGCAACATCCTTACAGGGACACCCAGGCTGACCTGGGCCCTCAGCACCCCTTCTCTCACTTCTGTTTTTCTCAGATACCTAGATGTGGCTCCTCCTTAGGGTGTGGTCTTGCTCTTCTCCAGATAGCCACAGGGGATAGCCAAAAGAGCCAGCCTCAGTGTCCTCTGCCTTATTTCTTTGGGGGTCTTGGTCAAAATGTGTCTTTGTCCTGTAGTCCCTAACCAGTCCATGGTCTGTTAGCTTCCTCTATCTTTACAGCCACTCCCCATTGCTCACAATATCACCTGGGCTTTGCCTCCTGTCAGACTAGCAGCAGCATTAGATTCTCATAGGAATGCTAACCATACTGTAAACTATACAAGGGAGGGATCCAAGTTGCAGCTTCTTATGAGAAACTAACGCCCCTCTTCCCTTGTCCATGGAAAAATTGTCTTCTGTGAAATCAGTCCCTGGTGCCAGAAAGGTTGGGGACTGCCATCTTTCCCTGATCTTTTTTTTTTTTTTTTCAAGACAGAGTCTCACTATGTTGCCCTCGGTAGACTGCCACAGCGTCACACCAAGGCTTGGTGTGCGCGGCTGGCACCCTAACAACTGAGCTACGAGCACCGAGCCATCCCTCATCTTTCAAAGTCACACCTTCTCTTGCGCTCCCATTAGCACTGACTAACGAACCCTCTTCCTAACCATTGTTTTCTTCCAGCACCTAACCCTATCAGACTACCCATGTAACACATTTGTATTGTATGTGTTCTGTCTCTCTCTACTATATGCTTGTCCCCGAAGCCCAAGCATAGCGGATGCTTACTGAAGTTCTTTTGGCTTTGTGAATGAGAAACTGTCAGTGGAGGTAGGAAAGAAGATAGGCAACGTGAGAAAAGAGCCAGCCTTAGCAGTCACGTACTGGGGGGCAGGTGACAACCAGGTTTTGGTGGCCTACCAGTCACTGAAGTGGAGAATTTTGGACTCTGGATTCTGGGCTCTCTCTTCTGACCTCTCTTCTGACCAGCCCTGTGGATGGCTGAATCACTGGGAGGCCAGCATCCCAGCGAGCTGCTTGTCCTCATTGCTACTCAGGTGCACAAGGAGTACAGCAAGTGCCTGCGTCACTCCTACTGCTGCATCCGCTCCCCACCCGGGGGTACTCACGGCTCCCTCAAGACTTCAGCCATGCGTAGCAACACCCGATACTACACAGGGACCCAGGTACAGGGCTGGGCAGGGCTTCCTGGGACTGAAAGCCTGAGCAGCAGAGGAGTGCTCAGCCGGGTCTCTGTTGGGGCTGATGAGGCGAGTGGTCTCAGAAAGGTCCCAGAGCAAGCGGGGGAATGGCCCAAGGACCCCCTTACATCTGGGCTGTATCCCCAGAGCCGAATCAGGAGGATGTGGAATGACACCGTGAGGAAACAGACAGAGTCCTCCTTCATGGCAGGCGACATCAACAGCACCCCCACCTTGAACCGAGGTGAGACTGTGTCTCTGCCACTGGCTGTAGTCACTCAGGTCTCCTGGGCCCATGTCTCCAGGCCACCTGGTAACCACTGATCCCTTAAGCAGGTACCATGGGGAACCACCTGCTGACCAACCCTGTGCTGCAGCCCCGAGGAGGAACTAGCCCATACAACACCCTCATTGCTGAGTCAGTGGGCTTCAACCCCTCCTCACCCCCTGTTTTCAATTCTCCAGGTGAGAGCCCCCTGGGAAGATGTCCCAAGTCAGGAAGTATGGGTTTGCATCCACCAGCTTTCCACTTCTTGTGTCCTTATACCCCCAGAACTGGAGCCTGGACTTGGAATTCTAAGCTAACTCTCACTTTCTCTCTTTTCTCTCCTGGCTCGGCACCTGCAGGAAGCTACCGGGAACCCAGTAAGTGTGACTCTTACCTGGTAACATTGCTAAGGTTGGAAGAGGAACAAGATAGTAGCCTTCTCAGATGGTGTCATTAAGGGACAAGGAGAACTGGGAATGTCCCGTCGCCATCGCGCCCCCCCCTCCCCCAGTCTCTGGCTTGGCTAGGTGCTGTTGGTTGAGTTTGGGCCTTCAGGTGGAAAATGAAGGTCGAGGGCGGTGCCTGTGGCTCAGCGAGTGGGGCACTGGCTACATATACCGAAGGTGGCTGGTTCCAGCCCAGCCCCAGCCAAACTGCAACAACAAAAAAAATAGTTGGGCATTGTGGCAGGCACCTGTGGTCCCAACTACTCGGGAGGCTGAGGCAGGAGGATCACATAGGCCCAGGAGCTGGAGGTTGCTGTGAGCTGTGATGACACGGCACTCTACCAAGGGTGACAAAATGAAACTGTCTCTTAAAAAAAAAAAAAAGAAAGAAAGAAAGAAAGAAAATGAAGGTCCTGAGGATCTGAGCAGAAGAAATGGATCTGGTTGCCCAGGCTTCCTTTCACTGCTGAGATTTTAAATGCCCATCTGGTAGGGGGTGGGGGCGGGTACCCTGGCGGAACTGGTGCTTCCATCAATCTGCCACTGGGCTGGTGTCTCCACTGCCAGAGAGGAAGAAAAGGAATGTGAGATTCAGTGCCCATAGCTCAGTGGTTAGGGCGCCAGCCACATACACCAGGGCTGGCAGGTTCAAACCCAGCCAGGGACTGCTAAAAACAATGACAGTTCAACCCAAAAATATGGCGGGTACCTGTAATCCCAACTACATGGGAAGTTGAGGCAAGAGAATCACTTAAGCTCAAGAGTTTAAGGTTGCTGTGAGCTGTGACATCACTGCACTCTACCAAGAGCGACATAGTGAGACTGTCTCAAAAAAGAAAAAAAAAATGTGAGGCCAGAGTCCCCAGAAGGCAGGGAAAACCAGATTGAGTGGAGCTCCCCTTCTCCACGTGGACCGCACCCTACCCACTACCCCTCAGTGTAGCTAGGCCTTCTCATCATCCTGACTAGCCTTTTCTGTCCTTTAGAGCACCCCTTGGGAGGCCGAGAAGCCTGCGGCATGGACACCCTGCCTCTGAACGGCAACTTTAACAACAGCTATTCCTTGAGAAGTGGGGATTTCCCTCCAGGGGATGGGGCCCCTGAGCCACCCCGAGGTCGGAACCTGGCAGACGCAGCTGCCTTTGAGAAGATGATCATCTCAGAGCTGGTACACAACAACCTGCGGGGGAGCAGCAGCGGGGCCAAGGGCCCTCCGCCACCTGAGCCACCAGTGCCACCCGTGCCAGGGGGCGGTGGTGAGGAAGAGGCAGGCGGTCCCGGGGGTGCTGACCGGGCGGAGATTGAACTTCTCTATAAAGCCCTGGAGGAGCCTCTGCTGCTGCCCCGGGCCCAGTCGGTGCTGTACCAGAGTGATCTGGACGAGTCAGAGAGCTGCACAGCAGAGGATGGTGCCACCAGCCGGCCCCTCTCCTCCCCTCCAGGCCGGGACTCCCTCTATGCCAGCGGGGCCAACCTGCGGGACTCGCCCTCCTACCCGGACAGCAGCCCTGAGGGGCCCAGTGAGGCTCTGCCCCCACCCCCACCTGCACCTCCTGGGCCCCCTGAAATCTACTACACCTCGCGACCACCAGCCCTGGTGGCGCGGAACCCGCTACAGGGCTACTACCAGGTGCGGCGGCCTAGCCATGAGGGCTACCTGGCAGCCCCAGGCCTTGAGGGGCCAGGGCCCGATGGCGACGGGCAGATGCAGCTGGTCACCAGCCTCTGAGGGGACCTCATAGACCAGGGCTGGTGGCCCAAGCCAGGGAGGGAATCCTGGGCAGGGTTCTGGTGGGAGAGGAAGACTGATGGAGGTAGTGGCTGGTGGGCCACTCTCTCCAGGTACCCCTTAGCCATGGGCCCTACTGTCCCTACATGGGGTTCTGACCTGGGGGCCCAAGGTGCCCAGGTTCACAGACAGGGTTTCCCACCAGCCACATACACCAGCTCTATTTGGGGGAAGTTCAGTGAGGAGGAGCCAAGAGGTCCCCAGTGGAGTAAGAAGAGAGAACCTGGAAGGGTGCAGCCCACTTGATTCCCCACTTCATGCTTCCTACCCCCTATAGGGAAGTAAGAGGTTTAGTTTCCCTGGGGGGGGGGGAGGGGCAGCTTTTGAAGTTGCCAAAGCCCCTCCAGACACTGGATCAAACCTGTCAGCTGCTCTTCTCCACAGCCAGAAAAGCTGCCAGCTGCACTGCAAGAGAGCAGTGAGATAAGATGAGATGGGACAGACAGATAGGTTTCTTCTGCACTAAATGGGCAGTTGTGGCTGGTGGTTTAAAGGCCGAACTTTTTCTGAAGCTCCTTCCCCCTTGCTCTTGGTCCCTGCCTCCCAAACAAGCCTGCCCCTCAGCCCTCCAAGAGTGCACCCAATGACCCCCTCCCTTGGGGCGACTCCTGATGAAGCACAACTCCCCGCAGGGCCCCGAGCCCACAGGGGTGGCCATATTTGGGCAGTTCCCAGTCCTGTGGGCTTGGCTATCTGGGGAGCAGATTTTGGGTCTGGATCTCCCTGGGGAGTGGGTCCTGGGCTTGGATCTTTCCCTAGGGGACCCTCTTGCCCCTTTCTCTCTCCTCTTCCTCCCCCATTGCTGTAAATAATTCAACAAAATGGAAAAGAAAAAAAAAAGACAAAAAAAAAAAAAGAAAAGAAAATCTCATCACTTGAAGCCACTGGGAGCCTGCAGCCCAGGCTTTCCTCGGAGCAGAGCGGCGCTGCCACCCTGGCAGCCAGGACTTCTTGTACTTGCGCATCCCCGGCTCCAGCGGGGTGGGCAGGCCGCCAGAGCAGCTTTTTACACTCCAGAGACAGAAAACAAAATCTAGATGCAACAGCGAAACAAAGAACCCGTTTCCTTCCTGGCACCATTTGTCCCCTTCTTTTCTCCCCTGGCATCATTGGCCCTCCTTGGGCGTGTACCTCACTGCTTGCCCCAGGACCAGAGGCCTGTCTCCTCTCCTCCCACCAGCCCAGGGGAGACACCCTCACACCCAAAGATGCTTTTGCCAAGATGGCTGCACTGTCCCTTTGAGTTCCTGTTTCTTGTATATTGTTTCTGGGACTCCAAGGGAAGAAGGGGTTGATTTACCATCTAGAGAGGTTGATGGAGGAAGGACAACAGGGAGCTGGGACAGTGAATGGCAGCAGGGCTTGATGGTGAAATGGCTGAAATTGGGAGTGGTAAGGTTGTTTTCTCTCTGGGGGAGAAGGGGCAAAGAATCACCTTCCCAACCTTCCACCCTCCTACAGGGGAGGCAAAGCCAGGTGTCAGGACACCCTGGGGGCTCCATCCTAACCCCCAGGCTCAGGATGTCTCCTGAGTACCTCTCCCAACCTCCTCTCCAGCCAGTCATCTGGCCTTCCCAAAAGTCTGACCTCCACTCGAGGGTAGCATAATAGCTCTATTGCCACATTAGTCCAGCCCCTTCATTGCCATGTCCCCAGGGGTCCACTTCTGCTCTGACCCCTCCCTGTCTCTTTTGTCCCTCCCTCTTTTCTCACAAGTGCCATGAGTTTTCAAACATCTTTGGGTCTCAGCCTGCTGCTGCCAAGAACTTTGTTGGGTTTGGGGAGGGGCGCTCTAAGAAGGAGCTGGGGAAAGGGGACAGATAGGTGGCTGGAGGGACCCTTTTTGCTGCTAGAAAGCCCCTCCTGTCCTCTGGAGAGCTGGGGCTGGCTTATCCCCATCAATTAGGGGAGAAGGGGTCAGACCAAAGAAGATGGTTTGTCCCATGTAAGGGAAGAGGTGTGGAGAAAAGGCAGGGTTGGGTTCCACCTCTAGCTTTTTCTGATAGGAAGGTGTAACCCACTTTACTAGAAGATCGTGGATGAATTCTAGATGGGAGAAGTCAGGCCAGGGATAGTCTCACCAGACAGCTCTGAGGAGGGCAGGAGGAGGCAGCCCTATGGTGTGGCAGGGCAGGTAGAGATCTGTGAAGAACAGGAGTCCAGGTTAGGTGGAGGAGCTGGCCCAAGCCTAGCTATAGCCTGAGGCTGCCACTGACACCAGGAGGGCTGAGAGAGTTCCCAGGGGACTGAAAATGGGCAGGAAGCCCCGCTTCCTTTGCCTACCTAGCCCTCCTATCTCCAGATGCAATCATAGGGGGAGAGGGTGTAGCCAGTCCCTTGGTTCCCATCCCAGCTGGAATTGCCAAGGTGGATTCCATGGCCTCAGAGCTGGGTGCAGGGCCCCCTGGTAGGGCCGGACACCACTGCTGTCCAGTGCAAAGCACCCCGAGAGCCCAGGTGTCCCCCCACCCAACCAGACCTGGTGCCTTGATGCCCCACCCCAGCTGGGACAATACAGAGAAGGGTCTTGGGTTTCCTCTCCTACTCCCTTCCTTGGGCTCCTGAATCTTGTTCTTTTCCTCCAAATTTTATTTCTTCTGGATTTCCCTTGCCTTCCCTTTCTCTTGTGTCTCTGCCTCCCTTTCCCCATGTCTTTTTGGCCATCTGTGTTCTCTCTCTTCTCTCATCCTTAATTTCTCTGTCCATTTGGCCCCCTCCCCACCATGCCCTGAGTTCCTCCCTTGGTCTCCTTTTCGATATGCCAAACCAATTTTGGGTCGAGTGCATTTAATGAGAACAAAACAAAAGGCTCATAACAAGAACGTTTCAGAAAAAAACAAAAAGTTTTAAAAAAAATGTTGAGTCAAAAAGTCAAACAATAAAGAAATTAAGATTTCTTGGAATGACGAGTCATGTCTCATTGGTGGCAGTCAAAAAATGGGTGAGTGGATTTGCACAGAGGTATCCTGGGGCTCTGACGCACTGCAGTGATGAAAAGCCACTGCAGAGGCCAGTTGAACCACAGGATCATTCACATGTATTGAATGGAGACCTTGGTAAGTTTCTGGGTCAGGCTAAGCATTTCTCAAGCAGTTTCTCTTTGAATCCTCATAAAATGCACCAGGGAAGAGGTTTTGATTAAGGTTGTATTTTACAGGGTGGCGCCTGTGGCTCAAGAAGTAGGCTGCAGGCCCCATATGCTGGAGGTGGTGAGTTCCAACCCAGCCCCAGCCAAGAACTACCAAAAAAAAGTTCTATTTTACAGATGGGGAAACTGAGGCTTACAGTGCTTGGATGCACACCCAGATCTCTCTAGCCAGGCCAACAGGCTATGTTGTGTCTTAGAGAAGCCCTTCTTGGCCTCCATGTCTGTCCCCAGTGTTTATGAGAACAGAGCTCCTAGACTCCCACAACATAGCTGGAATGAGGGCTTTCCAGCTCAACATGGTGGAATTACATCATGTTTTCACATTCTCCAAATATAACTAAGAGAGCGAGAGGGGGACGGCACCTGTGGCTCAATGGGTAGGGCGCTGGCCCCAAATAATGAGGGTGGTGGGTTCGAATCCAGCCCTGGCCAAACTGCAACAAAGAAATAGCTAGGCATTGTGGTGGGCGCCTGTAGTCCCAGCTACTCAGGAGGCCGAAGCAAGAGAATCACCTAAGCCCAGGAGTTGGAGGTTGATGTGAGTTGTGACGCCATAGGTCACTATCGAGGGTGATAAAGTGAGATTGTCTCTAAAAAAAAAAAAAAGAGAGGGTGGCAACTGTGGCTCAAAGGAGTAGGGCACTGGCCCCATAAGCTGGAGGTGGCGGGTTCAAACCCAGTCCCAGCCAAAAACTGCAAAAAAAAAAAAAGATTAATTTAATTTTTAAAGAGAGGACACAGTGCAAGAATCTTTCTGAGTGTCAGTTAGGCACAGTGGCTCATGCCCATATTAATACTCTGGGAGGCCAAGAGTGGATCACTTGAGCTCATGAGTTTGAGACAAGCCTAAGCAAGAGTAAGGATCCCCCTTCCCCCGCAACTGTCTCTACTAAAAATAGGAAAACTGAGGCAAGGGGATCACTTGAGCCAAAGAATTTGAGGTTACTGTGAGCTATGATGATATAGCACTCTACCAAGGAAGGGTGACAAAGTGAGACTCTATCTCCAAAAAAAAAAGAATCTTTGAGTGTCCCTCTGCCTTAAACACCTATGTGCAAGACACAATACTCCCCCCAAGTCTCCTCCCATCCCCCAGGCACTCCCTCCAGAGCTCCACCACTGGTCACTCATCTCCTGATCTCCTACTGTTGCCAGCCTATGGGCTCAATCCTTGGACCTTTTATCTGCCTGCTCTCACTCCCTGGACATACCACCCTAACTCACGGCTTTAAACACTGCCTACACACTGATGAATCCCTAGACCTAGATCCCTCAGACCTAGATCTCAAGCCTGAACTCCTACCTTGAGCTGCAAATTTATATATTTTCATATGCTACTCCACATCCCTCCCTGGGTGTCTCAAACTTTTTTTTTTTTTTTTGAGAGTCTCATTTTGTTGCCCCTGGCTTAAGTGCCAAGGTGTCACAACTCACAGCAACCTCAAACTCCTGGGCTCAAGCAATCCTCTTGCCTCATCCTCCCAAGTGGCTGAGACTACAGGCACCTGCCACCATACCCAGCTACTTTTTTCTATTTTAGTAGACACGGGGTCTCACTTTTGCTCAGGCTGATCTCAAGCTCCTGAGCTCAATCAATCTACCCACCTCAGCCTCACAGAGTGCTGAGATTATAGGCGTCATGGCTCGCACATATAATCTCAAACTTAACCTGTCCTAAACCCAGTTCAACCCCCTAAACCCAGTTCAACCCCTGCAGCTCCTCCCAAAGACTTCCTCACCTCAGTTAATGTTGAATCTATCCAACCTTCCACACAAGCTAAAAAATCTCACAGCTTCCATTGAACACATCTCCTTGTTTCATACCCAACATCTAGTCTGGCAATAAATGCAATGATGCTTTAACTTCTAAATATACAGAATTAATTAGTTCTCACCACTTTAGCTCAAGCCACTACTCTTTCTTACCAGGGCCACTGCAACAGTAGCCTTCCTTGTCCCTCTTCAAGCTTTTTTTAAACACAGAAACCAGAGTGAGGTAGGTAAACATATTTTGTCTCACCTCTGTTCAAAACTCCCCAATGGGCTGAACATAGTGGCTCACACGTGTAATCCTAGCATCCTGGGAGGCCAACGTGGTGGATCACTTGAGCTCAGTTCAAGATCAGCCAGATCAAGAGTGAGACCCTGTCTCTACAAAAATAGAAAACTTAGTGGGGCATAGTGGTGCACACACCTATAGTTCCAGCTACTCGGGAAGCTGAGTCAAGAGGACTCAGGAACTTGAGCCCAGGAGTGTGAAGTTGCTGTAAGCTATGATGACACTAATATACTCTACCCAGGCAACAAAGGCCCTGTCTCATAAAAAAAAAAAGTAAAAACTCCCCAGTGGGCTCGGCACCTGTGGCTCAAGTGGCTAAGGCGCCAGCCACATACACCTAAGGTGGTAGGTTCGAATCCAGCCTGGCCGCCAAACAATGACATTTGCAACCAAAAAATAGCCGGGCATTGTGGCAGGCACATATGGTCCCAGCTACTTGGGCGGCTGAGGCAGGAGACTCGCTTAAGCCCAGGAGTTGGAGGTTACTGTGAGCTGTGATGCCACAGCACTCTACCCAGGGGGACAGCTTGAGGCTCTCAAAAAAAAAAAAAAAAAAAGACAACTCTCCAGTGGTTTCCTCTCTCACCCAGAGCAAAGGCTAAATTCAGCACATGACCTACAAAGTCCTACAACA